GAGGGTGGGCATCTCTGGGGACCGGGGCGCAGGGTGTCGGCCAGGGCGGTGAGTCCCCCGGCGGGGAGCGCGAGCGGGCGCGCGTCCGGAGGCTGCAGCCGGAGTCTCCGCGGAGCCGCGATCGGTGCCCAGCCCGCTCGCCGAGACGGCGACTCCCGGGCTCGCGGCTGTCTCCCTGGAGTGCAGGCTACGGGGCGAGGGAGGCTGAAACGGGACTCCTCTCTCGGTGTTTCCCCCCTCCTGCGGCGTTTGTAAACCTCGCGGGTCTTCCGTGTCGCTGAACGGGGGAGGGGAGTGGAACAAAGACTTAATCAGGTTAGTTTAAGGATCCCTGTTCCGGTGAGATTTCCTCGAGAGGAATGGAGTCCTAAGGTAGTGACTGTAATTAGCCTTCATTTTAAACAATAGATCAAAGGGAGCAGCGCGGGAGCCCGCGCGGGGCTGTGGCTCGCGGAGAGGGCGGCGGTGCCTACCGTCGAGTCCCCGGGGGTCTGCGCGCTGGGCCCGGGAGCCCTGCCCTCAGCCCCCCTCCCGCGTGGGGACGCACAACTTTCCTAGGCAGGAGGCAGGAAGCCCCTCTAAGAGGATTCGGTCAGAATCCAGGCGCTCCCCCAAGGGGTCTCGGCATGACGCTAAGGGGGTGCTTGCGCGCCAGCTCTAGGTAGTGAGGGCGGAAAGCGGCCCGTGTCCCGAGGACCCACTCGAGTCCCTCGCTCCGGCTGCCAGGCGGCTCCGGGGGACCCGCCTGCCCGCAGTCACATGTCTCCTGAGTGAGAGCGAACTTGAAAAGCGTGGTCGGCCAAGCAGCCTCTCGGGCACTCCTCGGTGGTTTTTAGTCTCTGAGTGCCCCCAGCCCGGTGTCCCGAGCGTGAGAAGCTGGGACGGACTTCTCTGCCCTCCGCGATTGGCTGGCCGCCGGGTCACGTTGAGCTGGGTCACATGGCTCCGCAGACTCGCAATTTAGCAGCCTCAGTAGTGTTATCTTGAGGGGAATGTGAAAACTCGACAGGCCGAGACCCAGTGTTCTCTCAACTGCTGTCCCCTGCCTGGACTCCTCGGAAGGGCGAGAGTGTCCTGACCATGGCCTTCGATGTGTAACAAACCCGAGAGCCTGGCAAAGCCCTGCTCGCAAGTTCTCAGACTCCAACATTAATCATTAATGGATGAGCAGTACTAACTTATTAAACCATTTTTCAGAATAGTGCCATGACTTGCATTATACTTTTCCCACTATTTCAAAAAGACTAAAATATACTGGAACTTACTGATGTAACGGTCCAGGAAAGTAGGAGGAAAATATTCATTTTCACTCCATGTTCTCTTTGCTGCAGGTAATTCTCTTAATTTAACACATAACTTCACACTGGAGGCTAACTTTATCTTATAGAATGCTAGGAATGCATCTAAACTGTTGAGAATAGTTAGTTGAAGCCGTATATTCACCTTGTATTAGGTAGGTGAGGACCCTTTTGCTCCGCTAAGTCACTTATGAAATATGTGACATGCCATGAACAGTGGAAATAGAAGCCCATGCAAGACTTACTTAAATTCTTCAAAGGAAAGGAGGCACATCCTTCTGAACTGGAGGGAATTTAGGGTCTGCTGAGGCAGATGTTGACCCCAAGCCAACCCAGACTGGCTCCTGTCTGAAGTTCAAAGCCCCGGGGCATGTAGGCAGACTTTCTGGCCCTGGTCTTCTACACTTTTACCTCCCCCACCCCCACACACACTCAGGCACATGCTTGCATGATGCTGTCTAAAATACTCTAGGATAGGCAAGGAAATTAAACCAGGCTAACAAGAGAAGTTAAAGTTTGGTAATGTAGTATATCTGATTGCAGGCCATTTTCCTCCAGCCTAGGGAGCCAAGAATAGGATCTGGGGTACCATAGATTTGTTAAGGCCAAAGCCTAGAAGAACAAAGGTTCTGTGAGAGCTATTCAGATATGGCTAGCAACTAGCAAAAGAGTACACAGAACTTTTCTTATTGTGGGGGTGGGTTGGTGAAATGGCAGTACTAATGGACCTGGAGGGATAGGAGACTGGAGGGCAAGGGTGAATAAACCTGGTTCATCTTGTAGCACCAAGGGATGGTGTGGCAATGATCGTAACTCTCATCTAGGCCAAAGAATGTGCATGTGAGCAGGGCTCTTTAAAGGAGGGTCACCAGGCAAGCCCATATTGGTAGTGACAGCTTCTTGAAATCTGGAGCAGCTTTGTTCCCCAAATTGCCCTGTTGGCCACTTCATGTGACATTTAGTCATGCACCTGTCCTGTGTCATTTTCATTCTTTAGTTTTACTGCTTGAATCCCCAGAGACCTAAAGCACATACAATGGCCAAGTTCATTAGAGCTGCCAAATGTTAAGACCTGAGTACCACAAAACTGCCTATTTTAATTATGGCAGCCTCCATGCTCAAAAGAAGTGACAGCCTGTTTGAAGTGTTTCTGCCTTTTATAATATTGGATAACCATAAACTCGATTTCACTTGAGAAGTTTTTATAATTCTAGAAAAGATGGAAAGTAGTTACAAGCCCCTTCTGTTACAGGAGGAGTATCGAACTGATAAGACGTAACAAGAACTCCTAGAGTGGATAGAACATGACCGTGAGATCAAGGGAACAGATAGCTCCCAGCCATATGGCTTCGGGTTTTGATCCAAAGACCAGAAGACTCAGAGCACAGCATAGATAACTCATTAAATATCTAGACCATTTTCCATTTCTCACAGAATGTGAATAAAGCTGTCATTTTCAATAGAGGGAATAGTGATTTAGTCTGGGCAGTCACATATATGACTTTGAGTCATAATTAAATTTACTCTGGATGCTGACCGTTCTTTGGAAAGCCATCTTCACATACTAGCCTATAAGACATTAAATGCCTCAGAGGGCTATGATAAGGTCTGTGATGATGCTTATGATAAATGTACCTGCCTTAGGAGAGCTTCTGGGGTGGGCTGATACAGTTGCTCTCCAGATGGTTAGTTGATAGCCTCAAAATGGCTTAGGATGTTCCCATCTATGTTAATATCAAAAGAGTACTTAGGCCACAGCACTGGGACTACTTTCAAGGCAGAGTCCAAGAATACCTTCTGCAGAGGTGGTGGATTAGATTTACCTGTTGAGCAGAAGTAAGTGGACCAGGGACAATTTCTTTGCCCAGCTGAAGAGTTTTTAGCTAGGAAACCTAAGGATAGCTTTTCAGAGGACTTCAAGGAAGAGTATGACTTAGCTCTAGGAGACTCTGGCTTTGTAAGTGAAAATCATCTCAATTTCACTCTGTGCATTTTTCCATTTGAATTGGTATCTCTTCGCTAAGCTCTTCTGTTGGTTTGCAATAAAAATTCCAGACATCATTAATACCACCTAGTTAGATCCACTAGATGCATTGCAGGATCTAATGAGGTGGCAGGTGATACCTTATAGTTAGCACGTAACACACTTTTCCCTTCATGTGAAGTTGCCTAGGAAAGCTTGGGCCTGATGTCTATTTTGGGCTCTAAATTAAGCAAAAGAATGCCTGCTAGGTGCTGGGAGAGTAAGTACAGATTCTACTAAAAAAAAAAAAAAAGAAAAGAAAAAAAGGTTTCATGTCTGCTTAGGAATCCTTTGCCCATTTTGTATCTCAGAGATGTTATATGGGTGGGTAGAGTGGGGGTGCAGGGAGGATATTCATGACCTTGTATTTAAGAGATAGATACCTCTCGGGACAGAAACTATAAGATGAAACCATTGGCTAGAATGGTTGATCTTGCCACCGACTTGGGTCGTCCGGGTTGGCCCTGCTGGCTAGTAGCTAGCCTTTATGTATCTATATGTGACAGTGGCAGTGGGGAATGGAGTGGGGCTTGAAGCTGCCAAACAAGGGAGGTGAAAAAACTTTGGCAAAAGCCAACTTCTGCAAGTTATTTCATGTGTTATAACTTAATACTTCCTCCAAATACTATGAGCAAATAGGGTTCCTATTTTACAAACTGCTTCTAATCTTTAGTTTTCCTAAGAAGCCTTCGCAAGATTTGAGCTACTAACTGATCCATAGGTTCCCTAAGTAGGTGGTTGACTGGTGCCGACCTTCT